GTTTTGTATCCTAGACGGCCTGTAGTGTTTTTACTTCTTAGTCAAGTTTACATTGCTAGCATTAGATGGGCATTGCATGTACGTTTCTATGAGCCTTAGAATCCTTTCCCTATCTGTAGACTTACTTTCCTCTCCAGTGTAGACATTGGCTGTATTTGGGCTCCTACTTCCTGATGCAAGTCCTGTGTAATCTCTGAGGGACATCACTTGTTATTTTCCCCTGGGGACTCTGTAGTACTGATTTTGTTTTGTGTCCATGCCTCCATTCATGTGTGCTCTTAGGTAATAGCTTAAGAACCTGGGAGTTGTTGTGGGATCAGGCTCATTGTCAACCTTGGCCAGTGAACTTGCTGACAGTGGTTGTAAGGAATGTGTTGTGGTCTGTTCACTAGCCCAACTTTAGCCGTGAGGTTTAAGTTGCTACCTCAAGTGGTTGAAGAACCCATAAGGTGTAGTTTACAGGGTGACTGTAATCTGAAATTTGAATGATTCATATTTAGAGAAGAAAGTAGACTTAATCTGTACCATTTAGATGTGAAATCAGAACCTTGGAAGTTGTTGGCTGCATATACGAAAACAAGAAAAAACAACTTTTATTATTGGTATTGTCTGATGAGAGAACTAGGTTTGGTTTTTGAGGAAGAGCTGCCATTTGGGGAGTTTTCCCATAAAGGTTTAGAGCTCTGTCACCTAATAGATACATTTAACGTGAGTTGCAAATATGTTGATGATAAATGCCATCGAGTTGATTCCGACCCATAGCGACCCTGTATAGGATTTCCAAGGAGCAGATGGTGAGCTTGAACCACCGACCTTGCAGTTCAAATGACTTTGAAATCTGACGCATTAGCCCACAATGCCACACCAGGACTCCGAGTTGTATGTGTAAGATTCAACAATTTCTAGTTGCCTTTGAGTCAGCTTCAATTCAAGGTGACCCTATGTATAACAAACGGGGCAAAACACTGCTGGTCCTGTGTCAGTCGTGATCAATAGCATGTCTAAATGCATTGTTCTTTTGGTTATCATTAGCTAATTTATGGAAGGAGATCACTAGGCCTTAAACTCAAATGAATAGATGAAAACAGAATTCTTCAGTGTGCTTACTGTATACTTTGGGTTTGACTTTAGGTGTTTCTCAGGCCTTTGCATCATTGTACACCTGACCCAAATCTTTGACACTTGTGGGCCAATGTTAGTGTTTTTCAAACTATGGTCCCCGGACAGGTTGCATCAGCATCACTAGTAGTTTTGTTGTTTGTTTAAGAACTGTAGATTCTCCCACTTCACCCTTGACCTTGGCTTTTGCAGGAGGGTAGAGGAGATGTTGGAATTCTCCTTTGGCACTGTAGGATGAGTACTGGATTGCTAACTGCACCATTGGTGCTTCAAACATACCAGGTGCTCCTCGGAAGCAGCCCTACACAGTATCACTATAAGTTGATTGCACTAAACAACAACAACAGGGGAGAAGTTATTTTTAACAAGCACTTTTAGAGAATCTTGGTGCAACTTAAAGTTTGAAAACCATTACCTTATGGAATACACATAGTATAAATGTTAATGAAGATTGTTGTTGTTAATGTGCCATCGAGTTGGTTAAGACTCACAGTGACCCTGTATAGGGCTTCTGAGGAATGAATGGTGAGTTTTCACCAATGACCTCACAGTTGAAGCCAACTTTGCAGTCCAGAGCTTTCCTACAGTGCCACACCATGATGAAGATTGTTGTTGTTGTTGTTGTTAAGTGCCATTGAGTCGGTTCCGACCCATAGCGACCCTGTACAGGGTTTCCGAGGGTGTAAATCTTTACAGGAGTAGAAAGCCTCATCTTTCTCCCGCGGAGCGGCTGGTAGTTTCGAACCGCTGACCTTAAGGTTCGCAGCCCCAGTCGTAACCACTACGCTACCAGATCTTCCTCATGATGAAGATAGAACGACTAAAAAGCAGGCTCTCTGAGATTTGTGTCCATTATTCTGAAGTAAAATGCTCTAAGAGTCACAAGACCTCTGAGAATGAAAGATGACCATATTTTTCAAACTTTAAATCATTGCATATGTTCTGTCAATTAACAGCGTCTTAGATTTGGGTTGAGTGGCAACTTTAGTATGGGGAAAATATAACAGTTGCAGTTGTGTGGGCGTGAGAAAAAAGCAGGTGGAATTCAAGATGGATATTCCATGTATTTCTGGGTCCAATGCTGCCATGCTTGGCAAGAATGCCAAGTTCCAGCTGATCTTGGACTGTTTGAGACGATTATGGAGGAAGCAAGCAGGGAGCCGAGATAAATGATCATTTAACAGAGAGACTGTAACCGGAAGAGTGGGGCCAAGACACAGTATTAAACAAAGGAGCTTTAATTTTAAGGAGGAGAAGGAATAAGCTAGAAATAGCTATATCGGAAACAAATGAGGCTGTCTAGCACAGTGTTCCAAAATATAAATGGTAGTAGTTTTCCTTTGATACTTAAATATTTGATGCTCTGTGATCCTTGCAGCAAATTGCCATCAAGATTTCAATTAGAATCTTGTACATTCTGATTAGGAAAGGAACTGGATAAAGAATGAATGATAAGTTGTACTTACAGTTTAATTCTGATTCACCCGAAAGTGGAAGTGGGAATATATGCCGTGTAAACTTGTTTGTTGGGAGCTTCTATTTTGCTCACCTGTAGACCGGGAGTCTTGGTGTGGTGCTGTGGGATAATGAACTGGACTGCAAAGTCATTTTGAACTGCAAGGTCGACAGTTCAAGCTCACCACTTACTACTTGGAACCCTTATACAGGATCGCTATGAGTTGGAACTGAATCAGCAGCACTTAAGAACAACAGCAAGATTGTGAGACAGGGAACTTGGTTACTCGGTAGGACAAGTACAGCACTATGAGCCACAAGGATGGTGGTTCAAGCCCACCAGCTGCTCTGTAGGAGAAAACTGAGACTTTCTGCTACCTCCAATGTTTTGTTATTTTTTTTTAAGTCTCAGAAACTCTAAATACAATGAATCAGAACTGACTCAAGAACAATCATTACAAGAACAGTAATGTGAGAGTGGTGCCTCTGTTGTCGAATTCTTTCTTATATGTTGCTATGATGCTAAACCAGATTTTAGTCTGATCCTGAACCGATAGTGGAGTGGACGTCTATGTGTAGGGCTAGCCAATGTTTCTATGAGCTATAGGCTACTTAGGGCAGCCAACCGGAAAAAGAGGGGACAGAATGGAATGGAAACATGGTTATTATGACTTATCAAAACTGTGAACGCTCATGCATGTAATTTCATAGAAGTCTAAAATATTTAAAAGAATCGTCTTTCATCAGAATACCACTTTCTTTTAATATGTCTTTTTCTTTTTACTTTTAAATGACATTAAGTGCTGTTAAGTCACTTCCAACTCATAGCGACCCAATAGAGAGTTTCTGAGAAGTGGCTGGTGAGCTTAAACTACTGACCTTGCAGTTCAAACTGACCTTGCAGTCCAGTGTATTAACCAGCAGCACCACACCAGGACTCGTTTTACATTGAAAAGTAATCTTAAAATATTAAAATTCCCATCAGACTTCCTTGAAACACTACAGTCCTTATAAAAGATAGTTTTGAAAACACTACAGTCCTTATAAAAGATACTATGAAAATGAGGATAAACTTTAATTTTTTAAAAAAATGTGTTTTTAAGCTAATTCACTATTGATTTCTGATTGTGTGTCCAGGTATTGTTCTAGGTACTTTACTTAAATTATCCTATTTAAAATTTACAACATTCTAACTTAGGTACTATTACTATTATTATTATTATCCTACTTTTTTTTTTTTCAGTTGTGGAAATGAGGCATTTAGAGACATTTAAATCCAAGTGGAGGACCAGAGAGCTGATTCTCACTATATGTATAGACAGTAACCATCTTTGTTAGCTCTCTGGCAAAAGAAGAATAACAAAAACAAATTCTTAAATTATCTCTGCAGGTCCTAATTTTCTTTACTAATTCTCTTGATCAGATAGAGGATTTCACATGCTATCCTTACATACAAAAGCTAAAATAAATTGGTAATTTATGTCTCTTTAAAAATGGTATTCCTGCAAAGGCCCAAGTATTTCAGTTTAAAAATCCATGTCCTGTGGTATGTATGTGTCTTCTTGTGCAGATGGTATGCCTTTCTGAAAATTGCCAAAATAAAAGAACACATAGTTTAGAAATGTTTATATTAGAATTAAAGTACATGAGGTTTTGCTTTATAATATGTATACTCTAAACCTAGAAGATTTTTGTCTGTGATGTTTTAGTCTGTGAAATTAATTTTGAAATGATTTTATGTACATTCCCAGAATATGTAGAAGATGGCCTTATTTACAGTTACCTTGGAAACAACCATGCCCAAATGTCGTGGTAACTCACATTAGTACAATTAAAAATCATTTTATGGAGCAAATGGAATTAAATATATTGTCCTCCAGCATGGATTTTAATGAATTTTAATCATATAAATTATATAATGATATTTTATTTTAAAATTGATATGGAAAACTAAATAAATCAGGTTAGTGGGAGAGTTGTCAGTGTCTTTAGACATATGTCTTATTCAATCCATATATGCATCACTAGCCTTTCCCTTATAAGAATTATGTACAAATATTATTATTGGTGAATATCCCAGTTACATAATTAATACTTCTATGGATTTAAATTCAGGGCCTTGGTGTGGTGCTGCAGGATAAGCACTGGACTGGTAACCACAAGGTTGGCGGTTCAAACCCACTGGTCACTCCTTGAAAACCCTGTACGATACAGGATCACTATCATTCAGAACCCACTTTACGGCACTTAACAACAATAACAGTAAATGAATTTGAAGTTACCACGTTTAATTTTGGTGGCTAGTTTTTCTTAACGCCTGGCACTCTTTGGGTAACATAACCGTTGTTACTTGTTAAATAACTTCCAAGATAGAACGTCTGCAGTGACACATATTGATATACATTTTTTCCCCCCTACATTTCTAGGACTCCACTATTGTTACTCCGATTATTTTGAGGACTGACCCTCAGGGATTCTTCTTTTACTGGACAGATCAAAATAAGGTAAGAAAGGGGATATACTTTCTTTACATTTTTCAATTGGTTGCTGCTTTTACATTGTATTTATTTGTCATACTTACATAAATATATCCATTTCTTATATGGTGTTTTGTCATTTATTTAAAGATTCTACTTAAAATATGTAAGACAAAAATGTCTTGGAGTTTTTCACGGACTCTGGTTTGAAATGTTTGATTCACTAAGTCCTAATACAATTACTGTTTTGCAATGCTGATTACATTTATTAGGATAAGAACATGGAAATATAAATTCCATTTGACTTAGAAGAAAACTTGTCAGTGTTATTAACTTAACCCCCTACCCAGCTCTGTCTATAAAAAATGGAGAAAAATTATGCAAAAATCTCTTCTGGTACTAAAAATCCTAACCTTCTTCATTCCTCTCTCTTTTCTGATTATTAATGGTTCTCAGAGCATCAGGAGGAATTTGATTCTGATGATTTGCTCCTTTAGCCTTTACCTGAAGCTTTTCTAGCATTTCTTCCCAAATTAGCCATCTTCCCACGATACCATGATGAATTTAGGATCTCATTTATTATGTAATCGATTGAGATGATTCCATATTAAATTAAAAGTAACATGTCTATACTTCATGAAGTTTATCTGGAGTTGAATGAGCAGTTAGAAATAATATTCATGGCGATTATTATATTATTAAGAGTTATTGCCACAGTTCGACATTTGAACCTAAGAGACCACAGAATACCAGAGATGATTGAACTCTTCTTGAACTATGTTATTTAGAGAGGTGGGATACAAATATTGAGAGTGCTAAATATATATTGAAATGGATAGCAAACCCGGGGCCTCCATAATTATTGCTGAAGGTGCACCAAATAGTGAGGTTCTGTTAGCTCTTTCATAACTCTACTTGAGGTTGCTATATGCAAAGTTATCAGAGTTGGCAGTCATACCTTTTGCCTTCTGGGAAATGTCAGTTTCACCTGTGAGAGATGGTAGACTCGTGTAGATTCTGCCTTAATGGGTGATGTTCTTAGGGTGCTAGCTCAGGAACCAATCTTAAATGGGTCATTTTCCCCTCCAAAATACAAACATCAACCTCTTGGTTACTTTGTAAAATGTATGCCTGAGAGCCATCTATGGACACAGATGTGGGGGTAAATCTTAGAAGATTACTGTATAGATTTAAAAACAGTATTTAAGTCTAAGACCCCAAATGTAATGTCCAAACTTTTATTTCAGTAAGATTTCATATTTTTAATGTTCATGTTTATTACTGGGTGTGTTAATCACTTTGGCTTCAACATTCTGTTTGGTTTCCTGCTGTTATGTGTAAAACAATAGCTTGAAAAGGTTGGGCTTTTGTCTCCTCCACCCCCATCGCTAAAGGCTATTTTTAGAACCCATACTGCTATTTCCATGAAAGATGTATTTATAATGCCTACAGCATTTTTAAAAGTTGGGTATTTGTATAAAAGTCCAAACTGTCAGCTTGATTTTTCAACTTGTAAATCAAGCTTCTATAAAAGCAACAGAAGGTATTTTGGGGTTTTTAAATAATTCATGGCTATTCAATTAAGCTGTACTGTAAGACTAATTATAAATGATTCTTTGCTTAAGAAAAAGAGTTTAGGACTAAAGACTCTTTAATGTGGTTCAGTTCTTTGGATCCAGTATTTTGACACTTGCTTATTTTCAAATGTAGGAGAATTTCTTTCACTTTTTCACACCAAGTATTTCCTCTCCAGGAGTCTTGGTGTGGTGCTGTGGGTTAATTTGCTGGACTGCAAAGTCAGTTTGACCCTCAAGGTTGTTGGTTCAAGTTCAGCAGTTGCTCCTCGGAAACCCTATACCGGGTTGCTATAGATTGTAACCAAGTTGATGGCATTTAACAACAACAGCCACAATGGTCTCTCCTGGTGTGTCATTGTGGGATAAAGCACTGGACCACAAAGTCAGTTTGAACCACAAGATTGGCAGTTCAAACTCACCAGCCACTACTTGGAAACCCTACACAGGGTCACTATGAGTCAGAACCAAATCGATAGACCTTAACAACAACAGCCACCGAGACTTGTGAAATTAATATCTGTGAAAAGTAATGCAATAAAGAGATAAAAAAAAAAAAAATCACTACCACATTATTTGTTTCCATTGTTGTAGCACTGTAGGAAAAGCACCGGATTGCGAACCACAAGGTTGGTGGTTTAAATCCACCAGCTGCTCCTTGGGAAACCCAATTCTATGAGGTGGAACTGATTCCACGGCACTTAATAACAATTGTTCATAAACAGTTGTTTATGAACATGATTCTGGAGAGAAAATTATTATTGTTGTTGTTTAGTGCCATTGAGTCGATTCCAAGTCATAGCAACTCTATAAATGGTTTCCAGGGAGCAGCTGGTGAGTTTGAATAGCTGACCTTGCAGTTCAAATCAACCTTGCTGTCCAGTGCTTTATCCTATAGCTCCACACCAGGACTACTAGAAATGGTAAATTCTATTTTTCACTTTTCAAAAACTTAAGTGATTCCTCACATCTATGTCAGAGTTTGATCTTTTAGTCAATGATCATTGATCTTTTTTTTAATTTTTTTTTTTTGCTGTGACTTGAGTGATAGTTTACACTGGAGAAATCAGCTTTACATTCATCCTATCGTTTCATTGCAATAATTACAATCCCCTCCATGCATTATCATTCAACAGCATTTGCTTCCATTCCCTCTCTCTTTTTTTTAGATGTACACTGAAGCACTCAGGAATATATAACCATTCAAACAACCAAAGGGTACACCCTATAAGCCTGCCCCCTGGCCTCCAGCACACAGACCTTCTCTCTCCCTGACTCCAGAGTCCCTACCCACTCCATCTTTCCATGTCATCATCTCTGCCTCCCTCTCTGGCATCTCTGCTTCTCTGGATAGGGTCCTACACTCTGCTTTTCTCCCTTGATGGTCCCAGGGTCCTCTACTCCAGGAATGCAAGATCAGCCACTCCCCTCCTTTTGTTACAAAAGTGTCTACCTTTACATTTGAAACATTCACAATAAGTCCTGTTAGTAGTTATTCACTATTGAACCACAAGAGCCTTATCCCCATAGCCTTTCACCAGCCCTGTCCAGACAGGTTGGAAATCACTCAGTGGAGATTCTGCCTTCCCCCACACCCTCTGAAACTAGGCTCCCTCTTGAAAGATTGTAAGCCAGTCACTTCGTGCCTTTGTAGTCCCAAATCATCTATTTTAGAATCCAAAAGAAGAGAGGATTTAAGAAAAACAGTCAACATTTCCATGCCTCCAAGTTTGTCATTTTCTTCTGGCTTTAAGCCCAATCCTAGAACAAGACCGAGCAATGCCTCATCTAGGAGATGGCCCCCTGTGAATGATATACTAGTGAAAATGCATGTGAGGAGAAATGGCAGCTGAAGGATGCACGTCAAGCTTTTAGCTGATGTTTTCACACAAAATCATTTCAAAGTACACAGCTGCACGGTACAATCACAATCCCAGGGAGCTTCAAAAAGTTCATGGGAAAATTGAAAGAAAAGAGAATGGAATTTTCCCTCGAACTTTTGAAGCCTCCTCATACTATCTGTTCTGTAAATTATTTTTATTTTATAAAATATTAATCTTAAAAAATTTATCACGTCTTCTATAGGTATATTTTAGAGAAAAATGTAGCACTTTGATAACATACTATGTTTACAACTGCTGCAGAAGCTTGCTTTGGTGCTTACTTTGTAAATTTCTTTCTTTTTGCCATGCCTCTCTTCTTGGCTTTCTGTGCTACAGTCTCTTCCTTGGGTCCATGACGCTTTTGCTGAAGCAGTTGGTTTAGCAATCACTTGAAGCCGAGTCTGTTCAGTGGTGAGCTGAGAGCCATTAAGAAGCCCTTGTTGTTAGAGTTTTTATTATAAGCGTTTGCTTTTTTTAGCATGGAAAGAAAACCCTCATGTTTATCACCATTTAGACCTTTCTTCTGCTTTGGCTACATCATAGCTTGTTACAGAGTCACAAGTTTCAAGTTAGAGCTTCTTCTCTATAGGCAATGATATGCCGCCTTTCCAAACTGCTCCTTTAATTTGTCACTGCAGCACAAATGATAGTTAGGAGTTAATAACCAGATACAATGGGGTGGTACAAAGGGAAAACTTTGTGGTTATAGTCCACCCGGAAAAGGCCTTGGGATCTATTTATGAAAACTAAGTCACTGAAAACCCT